ACTTTAACGTGTTTTTAGATGGGGTTCTGATCGAGAATAAGCTTTATGTGGCCTCTCTGGACTCCCATATATTTGCACTAAGTTTAGTCGGGCACCATTTGCAGTCATCAGCCGACATTTGAAGCAAACAAAAACCAGGGGAAAAAAAGCCACGTCGCCGCACCACTTTTTGGGCAAGCTCCACACCAGAAACCGGAGACCTTTTTTGGCCTTACGGTAGTTCAAATAAGTACGAGAGAATTGTAGAGCATAATCATTGCAGGAGGGGGAAGAAAAAAAGCGAAGTTTGGAAAGTACACCGGTGTTGCAAGAGAGAGTTTTAGTAATGGAAAAAATGTGATCATTCCAGGAAATATTTTGGTTGAAAAAATGACCACAAGAAATTTTGCAGATGAGACCCTGTTGATAGGGGTATCATCGATCTTCAGAAGCGGCAACAAAGTGTCTTTGGAACGAGGAGATTTGTTGAAGAGAATGAAATTTGTTTTGGTGTGGTTTAGAGAAAGTTTCGAATAATGCATATTTCTTGTGTGTGACCTATAGGAAAGCAAGAAGCAAACAAGTCATCAGAGATATGACATCACGCAGTGAACATAGCCATCAAACGAAGGGAGATGACAAAGGCAGTAGAGACGTCAGGGAGCTAAACAAGCCTGGTATACTATAATGTGTACATATTTGCTATGAAAAATGTATCTATTGCGATCATCCAAAAGCAAATAGAGGCACATTGGGTGTAATGAAATGCATCACCACGCAGTCTCATTTAAAGATTTCCCAGAGCAGAGCTGTTACATGAAGTATTCCTCAAGTTGCTTCCAATAAAATGCCTTTGTATGGAACTACAGAATATTGGATCGCATGTATAACAGCTGCCAAATGCTACTACGTGTGCATAGGCAAAAGTAAAACCATTTACTTAAGAGTAAAATCGTGAGCGACAATGCTTGAATCCATATAAATACAAGTTTTCTTTTACTGTTCAGCATTTACTACACATCATGGTGGCCGCGTAGCAAATGCTATACTTGCTTTAATTTGCATTGTTGCACGGACGAATGGTTGTCAACAGTAATGCTTCTTGAGTCCTTTGTGTGTTCGAACTTGCAAACACAGGGTTCACAAGAAAGGTTATAGTCTAAACCAGTAAGGTCATGCAGTTATACAGTACATTATACATGTAATTTGATCCTAGCCTAAATCCAACTCAAATGAAGAAGAACAGTTTCGTCAGTTGCAGAATGCAGAAAGTGGTATTTAATTTTTTTGCAAAAGAAAATCATAAATAAATAAACAAAGCACATGCAAAACTATCAAAAAAAATCGTGTTTTTTTAGTTTTTAGCAAATGTTTTCCAGTAAAAGCATTTGTTTAAATTTCATTTACAGCGATGCCAGTTCATGCCTAAAAAATGATAGTGAAGCAAATTTGTAATTTTCATGCATACGACCCATCTTGCTTCCCATCTAACATGTTGTTTTCGTCCTTGTATCGCCGCCACAGTGTATGACCTTAGGCCTTGAAGCTTGCAATCCAAAATGTAACGCTCTGCACACAAGTATAACGCTCTGCACAAAAACGTAACGTTCCACACACACAATTTATGTAACGCTCTGCACAAAAATGTACCGCTCTGCACACAAATGTAATGCTCTTCACAAAAAAATGTAATGCTCTGCACAAAAATGAAATGTTCTGCACAAAAATGACACACTCGGCACACACAAAAAGAACACATTAAACGAGATCTGTCTCGTTTTTCGCACGAGGCTCCAACATGCGAATTTCATGATTCTATTGGAATGCCTGCTTTGGCTTGTGAAGCCGATGCTGGCAAAGAACGAGTCCAAATGGGAAAACAATTCGAATTAAGTTTCCAAAGCAAGCATCCCATAAAGTATACATCCACTATCGTATAGAGGTTTTTGCAGCGAAAACAAAATTTGTTTTTATCAACTCTTGTCAGTATCACAGCATCATGTGCAAGATCAAGATGACGTTCCCTCAACATCATCCAGTCCACTATCCTCCAGTGATGCACCGACCTCGTCTGATGCACAGATGAACCCAATAACTTCACGGGCTGGCGCTTGTATAGCCAATCTGGAGTCCAGAGGCCTTGTCATTGCTGGCAATGTGACTGGGTCACATTTCCATTTCCACGGGAAATCCTCAAAAGAAGGTAAAATCAAATACTTTGTCCTAAGGTCCTGAAACAAACTTAACAATTCTAACAGGTCGAATTTTGTGTAAATTTTGGTGTTTGTTTTTGTACAAACCTGATCAATATGACAGTTAAAACATTTTGATAGAATAGATTTCATCATGCTGCGGTTGTTTCTATGAGACCCTGATTAATTTTGATATTTGTTTTTGTTGATTAATTTGTCTTCTTTCAAAAGAGTTTGAAGAAAAGGAAACAGAAGGCTCAACCGCCCAAGGGAATCCGTCAACGGGGAAATCATCCAAAGAAGGTAAAATCAAATGTGTTGTTTCCTTCAGACGTCCTGAAATTAATTTGACAGGTTAAGCAATTTCACATAATTGAATTCCGTGATCGAAATCTTCATGTATAAATTGTTTTAACGAAGATTTTTTTAGAATCATTTTTCCTTCTCTTGAATTTTTATTTTACTCTGAAGAGCTGGAAGAAAAAGAAACAAAAGATTCAACTGACCAAGGGAATCCTCCAACAGGTAAAGCACAATCCATGGATGTCTATACACGTCAAAGTCACGTGAGTGACATGAATTGAGTAAACTTAGCTTGGGCAATAAGCTGCACATTTTTGTATCACACTCCAAAACGGTCAGCAATCCCGTAGATCGGTGGGGGAGACGCCATTGGCTCCCCACCCCCCCCCCCTCAAAAAAAAATTCCAGTGGGTATATAGATTTTAACCCAAAGAAATAAAATGTACAATTTGTCATGGGCGTAAATGCGCGAATGTACATCTAAACATTTATATGTAAATCATGGCGGGGGGGGGGGGCAGCATCAACGTGTGGCGGCAGTTTGGAAAATTCGAACGGGTGGAGACCGTCTCACTGTAGAGGGCGTTGACCAGAAATATAAGCTGCTACCACTGTATTTAATGCGACCCTGCATTAAAATCCGACCTTTATGTTCTTTTGCCTTTATGAGATCAACCTCATCACCAGAAATGGGTTACATTTTCATAGCTTTGCCATTCTGCTGTTCTTATAATACGGTGTCCCAAATCTGCCATTTCGCATCTCGCTTATCGCATCTTGCATCTCGCATCTCGCATCTCGCATCTGCCATCTCGCATCTCGCATCTCACGTCTTGCATCTCGCGTCTCGCGTCTCGCATCTAAGAATGTAATTTGATATGATTACTTTGATGGTGTGCGCTGCCAACATTAACGCGCTATTTATAGAAACAGTATATATCCTGGGTGTAATTCGGACATTGGCCTACGTCTGCCTTTATGGAGCACCAAAAGTGGACAACTGTATTTTCCCATTGTCTGTTAGTAGAAAAAGATTTGATAAATCACCTGGCTCTTATATGGTGAAACTTCACAACATCAGTGTGCCTAGCATTAACAACAATGTTATCATCAAAAGAAAGCCCTGTTGTTCTTTCTTGTAAGATTAACAATTTCAGCAGAGATCCAAGTGTGAACCTTTCTTTCTTTTTGTTGAGTAACAGGGACAAAATCGTTCATAGCAGCGAACGGGAGATCTAAAACATTAGCAAAAACCTCACTATTCTCAGTTGTATATGTCTCGATAGTCCGCAGTCCCATTGGTCCGAAGTACCTTTGGTCCGAAGTCCCATTGGTCCGAGGTCCCATTGGTCCGAAGCAGTGGCGAAGCAGTCGAACACCTTTATAAAAAGGAAATCGGGACTTAACGAATTACCTTGTTATAACAGGTACCTTGTATTAACAGTATTGGAAAACCGTACAAAGGAAAACAAAGAATAACAATGAGTTGGGACCCAAACTTTTGCTTGTTATAAGAAGGACCTTGTACTAACAGTGCTCTTCTTGTCAGGGTTCGAATGTATATTTCTTGCTTATATTAATAATGCTGTTGATTCTACTCAGACTGCTGGAAATATGAAGACGATCTCACTCTCAGCAAAAATAGACACATCAATGGTGTTAGGAGGATTCAGGTAGATTTAAATAATCACAATGACTGGGCGTTGGCAAATAGAATCCATTTGAACCCTTCAAAATGTAACACCACGCAGGCGTACTTTGCAAAAAAAAAAATCCGTTCATCTAAATAAAGTTACCAGTGTTAAGTTGTTAGGTGTTTAATACTTTGCAACAAAATTTAAAATGGGATGTCCATATTGTGAAGATTGTTTAAAATAAAAGCCAACAAGAAGCTTTACATGTTAAGGAAACTCAATATGACAGGGTTAACTGACAATGAACTTGTGACTGTTTACAAAGAAAGTAAGGCCCGTTGTAGAATTTGCTGGCCCATTATGGCGCTCGGGTATCACCAAAACTTTCGATTGGAATTAATCCAACGAAGAGTGTGCCACATTATTTTCGGTCAAAAGTATACTGCATTATAAACAAGCTTTTATCACTTTTGGTCTGGAACACTTGGACATGCGCAAAACCTCTCTTTGTAACAAATTTACAATGAAATCTTTTAAATCGAGTAAATTAATGAATGGTTCGTCAAATCTGAAAGCACCGGTATAAATCTCCGGTCCAAACGAGCACTTCATGTTCCATCTTTTTGATAGCTAGCAGAAAATATTTTTTTTTTTTTTTAACCGGTTTTGGAATTTCTAAAATCATAAATTCTAGTAAAAGAAAGTGGGAACAAATTGTTGTCCACTTTTGGCGTTCCATAAAACTAGACATAAGTCAATGTCCATATTGCACACAGGAAATACACTGTGTCTATAAATAGCGCGTTATTGTTGGAAGCGCGCAACGCCATCAAAGTAAACATTTCAAATTACATTTGACTCGAGACACGAGATGCGAGATGCGAGTCGCTAGATGCAAGATTTTGAAGGCGAGAAGCGAAATTTTGAAGGCGAGATGCAAGATTTTGAAGGCGAGATGCGAGATTTTGAAGGCGAGATGCGAGATTTTGAAGGCGAGTTGAGAGATGCGAAATGCTAGACGCGAGAGGGGAGACGCAAGAGGGGAGACGCGAGATGCAAGATGCGAGATACGAAACTTCAGATTTGGGACACCATAACATTTCATTTACAGTGCAACGATTTTCCACGTAAGTTTACGTTTCCGACACTTTCGTCACTATGTGCAGTAATAATAGCGATCATTAAAGGTGTCCTAGACTTCACAAACACTATTATTTGTGTAAATAAACAGAAACATCAAGACAATGTTGAAAAATGTTATTGTGCGACCACTAATTTGTTTACGGTCAATCGTAAAATGTTCGACTAGAGTCGTTGGCGCTTCAACTGCAGTGCAAATGCGCTAGATACGTCACGAATTAATTACTTGTCCTTGTAACTTGCCCATGGTTGATAGCACAGGTTAGAGTTGTATGCACTTTGATAAAGCGCCCCCTCTTGATCTTCAGGGTGTTAAAAAAATTATGCAGGTCTGATATCTGCCCAAAAAGCCATCTGCAGGAATGTCGAAGTATTCCAAATCCTAATAATCATACATCGCGACCATGACTTGTACACCTATAATGTCCATCTTTTTATTATTTTAGTTAAACTCCCTTTATTCACGAGATGGAACTTTCATTCGGGAGTGTTTATACGTCGGTGAAGGGCTAAACCTAACTTAATTAAACTCCCTTCTGTTGATTATATGTATCTCAATGCTAGAATGACATACATACTCAAGAGGGGCTTATATCAAAGGTATCACTTCTAATGGGGGAATAAAGGGAATGCATTTGGGATTTCTAGAAGACGGTCAGCGGTCAGCATAGTAGATTCTCGTTTACAGGTGAACCGATGGTTTGCTTTGGATACCAATCTTTCCGACCTTTTTGTTCATTTCCTCTTTCAGATGAACCTCATTACAAGAAGTGGATTTCATTTTCTTTGCTTTGCATTTCTGCTGTAATGATAGCTCTGGCTGGCATTCTGATCTTCAATTTCTACGGTAAGCCGAACAGAAATGAAGATGATCTTTTGCATGCATTAATACCACAATTTTTTTTTTTTTTTTTTTTTTTTTTTAATCTGTGTGGTAAAACATCTGAGATTAGCAAAACTAATCGAAATGGTTATTTTAGCAAACATCTCCAAGGGTCATCGTGCATTCCATTCCATGTAAACATATATACATATTTTTCTTGTTATATTGAACACTGGCAGCAACAACTATTCTCCAAAGGGAAATTTCTAAAAATATGACAGCTTCAGAATGCTGAAACCAAAAGGAGAGGTTTGGTTTATACGCTTTCGGTTTATATAAACGGGTGAAAACATCGAAGTAGTCAATGTCCGCTTCTGACGAACGTCACGTTTTTTTCACGAAAAGTCTTGCACATACTGGTCTAACAAAACGCTGGGAGCCTTCCGCCCAAAATCCGGACATCCGAAGACGTTTCACGGGACTTTCTTGAACTTTAATTGCTTAAGTTTTTGATCAGATATCAGACGGTTGTTGTTTTGTGTGTACGTAATGCAGAAATACCAGCAGCATCACATGTACAGAGTGGAGAGACTGTGCCCACGCCCAAAGTCCTCAGTGACCTGGAATATTGCCAGCAGCAGCTTAAGCAGTTCTACAAGGATACAACAAGCACCATCCCTTCACGCCCCTTGCTACCCTCCAGGACCGTGAAAATTGACGAGTTCTTTGTTAATTTGGAACTCAGTAGGGAAGTAGCTGGAAAGATAATGCCTGGTGACCGTGTGAAACTATCTGGGGAGCAAATGGTGTTTGATAAAGTACCAGCAGTACCGTTAGACACGTGGGAAGATTTGTTTAAACCAGAAATTGTAGAAGAGTCCAAAATCATTCTCGCAGGTGGGGCTGGATATGGCAAAACCACAATTTTAGAGAAAATAGCGAATGCTTGGTCGGTAAAGGGTAAACTTGCCAAATTCCAGCTCGTGTTTTTGTTGAAGTTGAGGCAAATGCGGAAGTCAAGTTGTATCATAGATGCAATATTTGACCAGATTTTACCGACGGATACCGATCTGACGAAAGCTAAAATGAAAGATATTATCGCCAATAACCAAGCCGACATAGCATTCTTACTGGACGGATTAGATGAGATTCCATCTAATGTTCTGAAATCTAAGAAGGGTGTGTACACAATCAAAGATGTCTTACGAAACAGAGTCTTGATCAAAAGCTACGTGTTGGTAACAACACGACCTCATATGATTCATTATGTCCTCAGTGGTTATCCTCATTATGCAAGAGTTAAAACATTTGGTTTTACCACTGAAAACAAACACAAGTACATTAAGTCATATTTTCCTGATAACATCACATCGGCGGAAGCTTTAATTTCTCGCTTACGATCCCAACTATCTCTTCATAGTTTGACTGAAAATCCAATGATCTCCCAAATGGTGTGCATCATTTGGATGAATCAAGAGTCGTTGCCTCACAATTTAACAACACTCTACGCTAAATTTGCGGAGACTCTTGTTCAGCGCCGGTGTGCCGACAATTGGCAGCAACGACTGAACGTTGTCTTGAACGACCTCGGACGCGTTGCATTGAATGGACTATTAGATTCCAAAAACAAAAGACTCGTTTTCGACCGAGTTGAATTTTCAGATTGCACCACATGTTTGGATGACGGCTGTCAAATTGGTTTCCTGCAAAGGGAAAATATGACCAGTGGTCTCGATATAAAAGAAGTGGGAACGTTTCATCACTTGTCCCTTCAAGAATATTTTGCTTCACGTTACCTGATTCATTTGCTCGATAATGACAAAAACACGTTTAGTCACTGGTTAAAACGGATCGGTGCTCACGCTCTTGGTGAAATGGAAACATTCCTTCGGTTTTGCTGTGGTCAGTCGCCGAAAGCGGCCAAAATTATCCTGAAGCATATTAGAAAAATGAACTACACATTTGAGCATGCGGCATTATCGCGGTTATTATTATTCGAGAGTGGATCAAGGAAATTGGTCAACGAGCTAGACAAATACCATTTTTTGTTCTGTTACACTTTTGAGGACATGTTGTCATTGCGATTTTATTTACAGGCTCTTCCCAACAAACCTTCGAGAAAAACGGGTATAGGCATAACTTGCAGTTCACATGAGGATATTACGCTTGCTCGTGAACTTCTTTTAGACAATATTGAATTTGCTGAGATTATTGTAATAAAATATACGGTATCTAAAGATTGGAACAAAGAAAGTCTTCGTTTAGAGGAAACTCTTATATCTATCGAAGAAAAACTCCGTGCTCGATTGGTTTTAGCAGTTTACATCAATGAGGGGTCAGTGTTCGATTACAACGAAATAGCTGAAAGCATTACTCGTTTATCGCATATTCAATTCAAATTCGCCGGCATAGCGCTGGTGAAACTACCACTTCACAAAGTCCTTAAAATGGTCGATGCACTGAAGGATTGCAGATTGTTTGGTCTCTCAATTTATGATATCAACATGCACGGACACCTCCTGGATCTAGCACCATTGATTACCTCAACTCTTCAGCATATGACATGCCACAAGTGTTATCTGCTTGATGATGATGTCGAGAGCTTGGAGAGCCTTCTTCAGAAATCCGAAAAGAACCTAGAATCCCTAAATATTGGCGGCAATGCATTCACTTTCAAGAAAATGGCTCATTATGCGTTTCATCTAAACAAATATTTTCCTAAACTTCGTGTTTTTATACAAGGTAACTCAATGCTTGATGAAGTATCTTTAAACAAACTCTATCTTTATGATTACTTTAAATTCAGGACAGATTTGGTTTTCGATAATGCTGACTTTCAATTTAAAACCGATTGAAAACCAATTGCACAATCTGCGCAAAAATAATAATTCATTTATGATGGCTACACCGCGAAAATTATGTTCTGCGGATAGTAGATATTAATCTATCTTGACTATCTGCCAGTAATTGGTAATCATATGGACTCTACATTATGCCAGGCGAATGCTGAGATGAGTATTTTTCGACATAAATTAGTGTATTTTTTTAACTTTTGTATATTAATCTGCCTGTTAATTCCGGCCATATTATTAATGGTCATAATCTATTGTATGTGTTTTTAGCGTTTATTTTTAATTGTATGTTTATTCATGGCATTAGTCCAGGAAGTATGAATTATGGTACCATGGTCCCCATCCCAAAGTGCAAGAGGAAATTCTGACAACTATAAGGCAATCACTCTAAGTAGCATTGTCGGCAAAGTTTTTGATTGGGTAATTATCTTGAAGGAAGAGAGTGCTTTATGTAGTTCTGATCTTCAGTTTGGATTTAAACAACATGCCTCCACCACTCAGTGTACTTTGTCATGAATGAAGTTATTTTCATTACAATTTTAATAACCGTCTTGTTAGATGCGTCTTTGGCATTAGATCGGGTGAATGAAGCATTATGCGTTCCTTGTTCGGTGTTTTATTACAATTTCACTGAACTGAAAGATTCCCGAAAATACATGGCGTGATCGTGTGCGGCTAATTGTGAAATAAAAATAATGTTTATGTACTTGGGGACATAATTAAAGTCGCTCAATGTAACATTTTCAATGACAATGATATCTCCCAAATAATTAATGACATCTGTGTCAATTCTTTTTTTTTTTGCTCTCTGTAATCTTTCTATGTCTTTTATTCTTATATTTAGAGGCACACTTTTTTTGTCACAATAAGGTTATATTTGTTGCTCGTGGTCTAATCAGTAAACATACCAAAATTCGTGGACAACGACCAGGGAATATTGGGTTAGGGCACACGTTAGTTTAAAGCAAGGGCATAAATCCCGAGAAGGTGGGGGTTATATATCCCCCACTCTTTGACCATGGGGATGGGCTATTAGATCATCCCCCACTTTCCTGTATTGACGAAAAAAAAGGCGGGTGTTGAGGTATTCAATAGTAGTGAAAGGGTGAGAAAAAGTACAAAAGCTTTAAATGCGTGATGCGTTGCTTTTATGTAAGATTAAGGGGCGCAAAGACACATAAGCTTTACACCTGTATCATGAGCAGTGCCCTCGAGGCCGGTAAATTTTGGGGGGATTTTAGTCATCCCCGCGTCCCCCCCCCCCCCCCCCCCACAGTCCCTGGCACAGGTTTATACCACTGGTTTAAAAACTTAGGAACAATGCGATAAAATCTATCTCGAATTCTAATATCCCCACAACATGATTTACAAAAACCTTCCCTTTTAGAAGGAAACATATTTCTTGTACAGCGGTCGGTTAAAATCTTGGTATTTAATTTCTGTTGAACACGATCAAAGTGCAATTGTGAACAACAGTTAACGTATTTACAAACAAGCTAAAACGATTATAGTGATGCTGATATTGAAGGTTTTCAACAAATTGCAGATAATCATCTTATCACCAAATGTTATTTTTATTCATCGCTGACATACCCATCAATCTCAATTGACACAATTGGATGAACAAAACGATACATTTAATTAGAATGCATCTTTTACAAGACCGAATGAAGCTAAAAGACGATAGAATGCTCGGAAGTTGAATGTTTTTTTTTGTTTTTTTGTCGAATAGTGACCTGCGTGATCTTTGAATTTCAATCTAAATCGAATGAGCTTAGCGTTAAATGGAATGAAAACTTGGTGAAATGGCCGGAAAAATCTATATTAGTTTCCTTTATGTTATGTTCTTGTATAACATTTAACTTTGTTACAGAGATGTTTCATGCTTGTACAGTGTATAAATATTTTTTGTTACTAAACCTTTTGGTGGAAGATTGATATTGCCTGAAAAAGCAGCTTTCTGATGAATTACCGATTTTCTTTAAATTTATACAACACGTGTCTTTAGTCAGTGATGAGTTTTAAGGTTAAAACAATTATTTTGTTAATTTAGATATTTTTTACATGCTAAAGATTTAAACAGGTGAATATTTTAGCTTTGGTATTTATATTTATATTTATATCAATAGTAAACAGATTATCATGAAACTAAGTACTGAGTTAGATTCTACTTAGAAACAACTAACAGCTGTAAATCAGTTTGACACGTTAAGATTAAATGCTTTATTATCCAACAATCTTAAGGTGGCGTCATTTAAACCGATTTTATTTCCAAAGAGACTAATTAAACCCACTGTCGATCTGTGTATCAATAAAATTACACTATCATTCTAAGAAGTCACCCTCTTTAATGGCGATCTTCAATACCACCGGCTTACGTTTGGGTCAACACGTACGGCAAGATAATGGATTTGTTAAGGGATAAGGGAAGAGTGGACTAAAAGGGAACCTTTGATACCCCCTTGACGTTTCAAATACACAGGGGCGGCGGAAGCGGGGGGGGGGGGGCAGGGGGCGGGGGAGATGAAAAAAACTGGCCATAAAATTGTGCTTTCAGTAACCATTTCCAAAAAATGGTAAAGAGGGTTTTGATATGAACAAGGAATATGAAAACCAAGCCCCAAAACCCTTACAATGCGCCTTGAAAATTGGCACATAACGCGTACTTTGCATAATGGCAGGTTTTGAAGAGCGCCCCCTATTTGGGAGATGGTACAGGCCCCGCCTCCTTCCCCCGCCTTCTCCGGTTCACGGACCAAATACGACTATCTAACGACTTGACATCAAGTCTACTGTAAATACAGAATACCTCCGTCCAGCTTTGACTATAGTCTCCGGCGATTTAAACTGATCGCACTTTCTCCATAGTCGAAAAAGTACTTGTTTAAAATGTTTGGACCCCTGCTATCTAAGGTTATATAGCTCTGTCGCTAAGGGGCCTATAAAAAAAAATGTGGAAGACACTGATGTTGTTCTTCGGCTTACCCATTCTGTTATTTTTTAACTGATTGTGAGGATTTCTAAATGAAGCAGATACATTCGTCTAGTTTTGTTTAAGCTTTCAATTTCCTTGGGAACCATTGGGTAAAACGGAATACATGACGTCAGTGTCAAACATATCGCGTTACACAGGAGGGCTGAAAATGCATACTGCAGAATGCTTCTTGTTTCCTGCTTTCACATCGAAAATACTCTTTGTGGTCTCTAAAACCAAATCTGATGATAGCAGAATTGCTCGACATCTCGAAAGACTCAAAGAAGTACACTATGAACCTTATTCGCGAGGTAGCCATTGTTGTCGTGTTCCCTGAATGTATTTCATCAATTGTTTACTGTTGAATGTGATGGCACAAGACTATTTATGCAGCGTTATGTTACTTTCATTTTCTTTAATCTGGCTTAAAAGATTAGGGAACGTTCAATTACTAATTTTAAATTATTCATTTTAAGCAGACTTGAATTATTTAGTAATGTACTTATTTAGTAATGTATCACCAACCGATAATGTCACACAAATAGACCGATACTGTATCACTAACCGATAATGTAACAGAAATTGACCAATAGTGTAGTAAAAATGTACTTCACTATCAGTCGATTGTTGCTACATTATCGGTCTTAACCGATAATGTAACAAATATTGACCGATAGTGTAGTAACATTTACCACACTATCGGTCAATTTCTATTACATTATCGGTTAGTGATACAGTATCGGTCAATTTGTGTGACATTATCGGTTGGTGATACATTATCAGTTGGTTACTACATTATCGGTTGTAACAAGACCCATAGATCTCAATAAAAAATCGTAAGTGCACAACAAGCAGATGAAAACGTCGACCGACTTCACAATGAGTAGTAGGCCTACTTGCGATGACGTTCACATTCGATCCCAGTTTTTGTTACACTGCTCGTCGGTGAAATGGTACGTACACACATAAAAACGAAATTGAAAACGTGAACTATACGTCGCTATGTTTCAAAACGTTAATCACACAGCCATCGATTCCCATTCCGTCCCGGATCGTTGCGAACACCAACGACTCAAGGAATGAAGCGATGCGTAATAATCATTACGACCAGTGTGTGGTATTGACCAGGAAAAATATCGAGACCAGGCAAATATCAAGACCTCAAATATCCAAGACCGAGACCAAAACCGAGCCCATTGGTATCAAGACCGAGACCAAGACCTAGACCGATACCGAGAACATCAAAAGGTGGTCTCGAGACTAATCTTTAGGGTCGAAACCCGAGAACAGACACACCATTTTAACGCAAGCGCATTTATCCAACAGCTTAAACAACACCATTTTAACTGGAAAACAGGGCTTTGTTTGTCTTAAGGTTCCCATGTAATAAATATAATAACAATATGACGGCTACCTGATCTACGATATGAGTATAACAGACTATTCACAATTATCCTGTTATCATACATGCCCATAGAGCTATATTAAATTACATGCCCCGCCCAATCCAAGCACCTTAGTGAAGTAACACGTATTACATATTATTATTGGATATAACGTAAATTACACTTTCGTCTCATCCGTTCAACCGTGCTGTATCATTGATATCCAAACCCGTTCGTTACATGGCACTGCTACTATGCTCCCGAGACGTGAGTTTCAAGCGTTGGTTTCGTGATGAATCTTTTACATGGTTTCTAATGGCTACAAGGCACGTGACACATTCAGCCAATGGGCTGTCTTGTATGGTATCATTTCGTTCCATGATACGTGACGGCGAGGAATCTCAGAAACAGCTACAATTTGTTGCCAATATAAAAAGTCCAAAATCGTTCTCACTAAACCAAAATCTCGGAGACAATCGGTACAGATGAGAACTGCATTCACGCCAGGCTGATACGTGTAATGCTAACCTGCCTTTTTCAATGCACATTTTCTGACAGTGATCCGTTCATAATCAACTCGCATGTAGTCTTACAGTCTGCCCGTAATATAGTGCATATACGACTAAGCCTTGGCCTTCATGTACCACTCGCTGTGAACCTCACTTGCATCCATGGTGTTTTAATAACGATCGTCGGAGATAAACTCTGAGTTCGTCGAATACATTAGATCATCTCGGGCGCGCGTCTGATTCACGCTCTTTCGCTGGCAGTTGATTGCCCTTGCAATTACCAGCCCAGGATTGATATGCAGGAAACAAGTCAATAATTCGTAGGACAAGTAACGCTGATGAGCATGCGGCTGAACGCGACTGGTAAGTGCTTCGATAAGTCATGAAGATCGTGATAAAGATTAACAGGTACTTGTAACGATTTTGATCTCTGCACAATCTTCGTGGGCTTCGCCTGTGCATATGGTGAAAGTTGAGTACCTATGTAAAGTGCCAAGAATAAAAGACCTGTCACTTTTAAGAGCGGTTTCTCTCGTACTGTTATGTCTCGTCAATGGTTAACTTTTATAAAAAGAGTTGATACAGCTTCCATCAAGAAATAGACGATAGGAAATAGACAACATACAACATGGTCGATACGGTCATTTGTCGACAGTGACTATATAACTGCCGAAGCTGGACGTCTGCGGCAGGCTAAAAATTCCAGATAAACATTTTTAATGTTCAAACAGACCTGTGACAATAGTATTACGGAATTCTTCTGAACAATGGAAATAAAGGTACTCTTACTTACATTGCTTGTCGTGTGTTCGGCACTGGCAGTCGTGTCAGAATACGCTCAGCTCTCGTACACCCGACGAGGAGATATCAATCTCGGCGGGCTGATCCCCGTACACTTTGGTGATTGCGAGGCCACCCCGACGATGTGGTCACTCCAGCTTATTGAAGCCATGGTGTTCGCCATTGAGGAAATCAACAATCGCAGTGACCTTCTGCCGACCATCAGTATTGGCTTTGACATACGGGACAGTTGTTTTGACGAAGACGTCGGTCTGTTGTCAGCCTTGTCTCTGGTCGACAGAGGTGCCTCGTTAATCGATCAGCCAGACGAATCTTCATTATGTAAAAACAATTCTCAGGATCTTTCCAAAAAGGTCGTAGGTATCGTTGGCCCTTTGAAAAGCTCCGTCAGCATCGTGGTGGGATCGGTTGCCGACCTGCAAAAGCTGCCCATGATTGCCTTCGCGGCCACCAGTGACGAGCTGAGTGACAAAGAAAGGTTCCCGTACTTTCTTCGCACCGTCCCTCCAGATCGTCTGCAGGCCACGGCAATGGTGGACATCATAACTCACATGGGATGGGAGTATATCTCCATCATTTACCTAGCCGACACTTACGGTATCCGTGGCGCCCATGCTTTGGCGAGACTTGCTGGGAGCAGGGGCGTCTGTGTGGCTCATTTACTGCCGATCCAACAGGTCCCTTCAAGGTCTGAATTAGAGGAGATTTCTGCCTTGTTGTGGGAATCCTACAAGGCCCGAGTTCTCGTCGTCTTTGCGGGACCCGAACCTGCGACTGAGCTGGTTAATGCTGTAGAAAATACAAGTAATGTGAATGACCATTTCATTTGGCTGGGCAGTGAGAGCTGGGTGCACAGCCTCTCTAGACTTAACAAAATACCACCCAAAGGCGCTTTGTTTTTAAGCTTACACAACCCAGAGCCGGATGGATTCTTCGAGTACATATCCAACCTCAACCGAGACACCATTCAGAAGAATCCCTGGTTTGAGAGCTTCTTGTCCAATTGGGAGGTACTTCACAATTGCACTATTTGGTTTGATAGACAGTGTGGCCTGCCACATCTGGCACAGTACACTGTAACAAGTCCCATGGCTCCAGTCATTGATGCTGTGTATGCATTTGCACACGCACTTCACTCCCTCATCTACTCTTCGAATTCAAGCACAGTAAATGGCACGAAGCTCTTGGACGCCCTGAAAGAGGTACGATTTGATGGACAGAGGGGGCGCTTTCAGTTCAACTCCGCCGGTGACATGGAGGGCAAATACCTTGTACAGAATGCCCAATTCGATAGCGATGGGTTTAGGCTTGTTAATGTCGGTCTCTGGGATGCTTTATCTATGTCGGATGACTATCTGACAATAAGTGGTGACATTGTCTGGATGAATGGGTTGACAGAGATTCCCACATCAACATGTAAGGACGTCTGCCTTCCTGGACAAAGGCTCGTCCCACTGGAGGAGAAATGCTGCTTCGGTTGTTTTCCCTGCGAGCCGTACGCCATTGTCGTCAACAACGGTACAGAGTGTAAGGAGTGTGAGGAGACCGAGTGGCCAGACAAACTGCGTTTGTCTTGTCTCCAGATCATCCCAGCCTTTACAGACTGGACCGACCCACTGCACCTGTCTATTACGATCTTGTCCTGCATGGGTTTGGCTGTCTCAATGATGATAGCGGCCGGGCTGGTGATATATCGCAACCACAGTGTGATAAAGGCAACCAGCCGGGAGCTCAGCTGCGTCAACGTCCTCGGGTTCAACCTAGCCTTTGTCTCAACATTTCTCCTAATAGCTCAACCAACAACCATCATATGCTGTGTGTCCCAGGCTATGGTTAGTCTCTGTTTTACTCTAGCCTATGCTCCGACTCTTCTTAAAGTAGGCAGAATCTACCGCATCTTTAGAGCAGGCAAGAGGTCTGCTCGACGACCAGGCTTAATCTCACCAGGAGTGCAGCTCATCATGGTTTTCGTGCTCGTCATGATACAGGTAATTATCCATTACTTGATTTAACAGCGAAATATTTGTATGAATGTTCTAAAGAAAATGAGAGAAGGATAACTTAAAGGTAAAACTAAAAAAAAAAAAGGCTAGTGTTGCTTCAATTTCATAGGCCGTTCGATCGCGATGATATTTAATGGTGAAAATTCCACAAGTTGTGTGAGGTACAGAGTCGTGCATCGCCTGGAGTTCAGAATGCCACCTGCCATAACCATGGGCGGATCTAGCTTTCACAAACTGGAGGGATGATAGTTATGAAGGGGATTGTTTGAAGGAGTGCCAAAGGCGCGCCCTTCTAGGGGGTCCAGAGGCATGCCTCCAGAATACTTTAAATCATTTAAATCTACTGGCGCAATAATTTTATCTCAAGGCATTGATATTGTTTCAAAAAAGATTCATGATGTCAAAAAAATGAAGACTTTTACATTGACATCGTGACAAGTTGATATCTGATACACTCGAAACACTTTTTTCCGTGATTAGTAATATTTGTCCGTATTCAACGAGATAGAAGAATAGAAGAAAGCCTGATCACTTCAAGATGAAGAAGTCGCAACTTTATTCCTATTCACACACACAGTTAAATTGAAAATAAATTCGAAGACAGAAAGACAACAACACATTAAAGCGTGGTTCCCCGTATTCAAGCGGAGGTGTTCCGTCATAAGCATGACAATTGAAAACATTGTTCAAGCATGGGTGGTTATGCATCAATTCTGACATCAATAATTATAAAACATCTCCAAGTAGAAGAAGATCTTTTAGGGGAAAATGCGATACAAGTCTCATGTTTAAAAGATTCATTATTTAATGTGGGGCTTACAATTATCGTTACCCCTGTTCATATCAGGCCATGAGACCAGTTTGGCAGCAGTTCGAAATCAGCGCATGGTGGTCTCTACATTCACAGGTACCCATTTATACTCCTGGGTGGAGAGATGCCATTGTAGTAAAGTGTCTTGCCCACGAACACAAGCACCATGCAAGGGCGGATCCAGAACACAATTTTTTGGGGGGCCAAAAAGTTTTTCGGTCCCCCAAAAAGTGGGTCAAAAAAATTACGGCGTGCGGTTCGGGGCCCGCTTAAGGGCCCCGAAATTTTTTTGGATTCTAGATGCTCTGTGGTGCGATCTGAGGCAATTTCTGACCACTTTAACCAATGTTTTTTTGAGGAAAAGACGGTGGTGTACTCATTGCCTGCCTTTATTGCGATGTCACATAAAAAAAAAAAAAATGGTTTCGTTTTGGGGGGGCCATGGCCCCCTTTGGCCCCCCCCCCCGGATCCACCCTTGGCACCGCCCTTGGCACCATGTTTTCCGTCAGGGTTCGATCCCACAAACTACGTCACTTGACTCGAAACCCGTTACCACTGGACAACAGCACTGCCGCACCACACAACCTTTAACGCGCAGTGTCGGGTTTATTGTAGTAATCGTGGGGTGCCGCGCTTCGCAAGCAATTTTTCATCATCAACGTTATGTTTTGCGTTATAGAGATATTTTTAGAGTGTTTTCATAGAAATAATGTTGTAAATATGTCAAAAAAGCAAGTCAAAAAAAATAAATCTTTTTTGCACGTGCCAACTGTGACTTCAAAGGACATTGAAAACATATCACAGGACCTGCATACACTGGATGCCTCTCCATTAACCTTTGCATTGTGTTCAAACTCTTTAGGCATTAAAAAAAAAAAATTGGTGACACACAGACATACGACGGACGGACATCAGATACCGTATGATCTTGTAATGTGAATTAATAAGTAATCAGCCTGTCATGCAGTCAGTTCATATCACTTTTTTTTTTTTTGGCTCTCTCAGCTCATCTATTTTCTAGTGAAATATGTACAATGTCCAAGGTATCCGGAAAGCTATGCGTTCAGGTCCCATCAAATTGTATCTATATAATTAAAGGCCGTACCACTACATTTTCAGTAAACCTGCCATCGTTAATATCTCTGCGCTGTAATTTTCAAGGGAAAAATTTTCGGGGAAATACATGTCCGAAATTCTGAAAAAGGCACCGAAAACGGGCACCACTTCTTTTTTGAAAAGGCCACTTGATCAGAAAAAAGGGCTCTTCGTAAAAAAAGGGCACTCTTTACAAATTATCGGGTGGGGGGTAAGCCCGTTAGAAAAAGGTCATGTGAATGGAAAAAGGCAGTCTATAAAAAATATTGCGGGGGTGGGAAATACCCCCTTACCCCCCCCCCCCGCCCCCCCCCCCCCCCCCCCCCCCCCCCCCGCTGGCTACGCCTATATGTATGGGTACGGTCAGCAGTGTTGACTGAAATCACTTTACAGTCTAAACGTGTGACTATTAGGGTTTGTAAAAATTCAGAAGATTTAAACCGTTTAGTTTGTGGAATGAGCCAGTAATTGGCGATGTAATGGACAGAATGTGACACATTCCAAACAAAAGTATAATTGATCCTCCTTAATACCTCCGAGTATGAGGTTATGTTTTCATCGGCGTTGGTTGGTTGGCTTTCTTCGTCTGTTAACAGGATAACTCCAAAAGTAACTTACGGATTTTCATTAAATGAAAATTAGGGGTGGCCCTTGGTACTAGTACAAACGGATTTAATTTGAAAAGTGATCCGGATCTGGTTCTGGATGCAGGTTTTTTTTTAAGAATTCTTCACATGGTGTATGCGCGAACATGTATGTTTAGAAACGTGTGCGTGTGTATTGCGTGCAGTCTATGAGCGCAAACCAACTTTCCGAGATGGTATATATGTATCTAATTCACATTAAATAAGTTCCATGTTTCCTATATAATAAAACATTTAATTGGCATATATAACTTAAATTCAACAAAAATAAATAGTGAAAAAAAGAAAACGGTAATGGAAAACTGAACATATTAGTAACGGCAATTGAAGCGTCTGTAGCTGCTGCAAGAACAAAACAATCTCAGAGCTGCAATTCTCAACCACTTGACTCCAAATTGAAACTGAACTGGCTTTACTCTCTTGTTGACCTATCCATTTGGGTTATGAGATTCTACATCCACGGCATTCCACCCTTTCATCTTTGTTTTTGTGTCTTGGATGATGTGTGGACACAGAAGAAACGTGTCTACTCTCAATGCTCCTTTTATGTAATGACCTTGGGTACACTATCTCGTCGATTCTTTTGAATAATCAGTCTCTTCTGTCTTTTAAAGACACTGAGACTGTCGTAAGTGGATAGACCTGCGAGAAGAACTAATTGAAATCATACTGAAACAGATTCTTTGTTCTCCTCGATCGAGCGTTCATCTTTTATTGAAAACAGTCCTCGATCTTCCCTACGTTTGTGTGCTGGGGAGAGTGATTATTACACGGACAAGGGAAACCCAATGCCTTGTCCTTGAGAGGTACGTGTTGTTAAGTGCGACTGTGTGATTACCTATTGACTAAACACGTAACGTTACACTACTTCCTGTTCCACGGGTTCAAATACTACACGGTGTGCAATATGCATGGTTAAGTTGAAGTGACGTCCGGATACAAACGAGGTTTTTATGAATCACATAGAATCAGGATAGGTGGAAAGTAGACGTCATTAATATTATTATAAATTTTTGACAAAGTCATGGGTTGTTGAAAGACTGTACAGTCCATCTTGAACCACTTTCCGTATAAAATAGGATACAAACTTAAAAGTAATCAGTTAAAGATAAAAACTTAAAGTAATCATGTAAACTGTAAAACAAAAAGGAAATGATTTAAAATTTAACGTATAAGAAAAAAAATAAAAACTAAAATTAACATGACAAAATCTATGACCAACCAAAAGAACCAGAAAGATGAAATAGACGCGCGGACAAACCTTAGACGTCATGAAATAAATTGTTGTAAGTTAAGTGCAGTAAATTCATGTCTGGCGTTTCACCCCTATATACCCTAGGCTTTCGAAAATCAAGAGACAAACCATTTTATCAATTTAATGGTCTCAATGTACATGATAACAAAATGCAAAACGTAACTTTGTAATGTAAATTTCAGCGGTTAACAATCAAACTAAAATCTGTGCGCCGTCTTTAGTTTACGCACAGAGCCTAAAGCCAGCGTTTAGACTGTACCCATTTACACTTTTCACGAGTCGTTTTCATAAAAGCATGCCGTTTCCAATGACTTATTATTATATTGGCATGGTGTGGAATCACAATGATAAAAACTGCTTGTACTCCAAAATAACGACTTGAGACATGAATAATGTAATAACGTTTTCTTCTTTTTTCTTGTTGTAGTATCGGTAGTTCAGCCTAAATTAAGTTTTCTTTAACCAGACCTCAAGGCTGTCATGCCTTCAGTTCCCATCAATTTCCATTTATATAATTAAAGGCCGTGTCACAACAATTTTAGTAAACCTGCCAATGTCAATATTCTCAGCGCTGTAATTTCAAGGGAAATACGTACAATGCACAATGTATTGTGAAACTGATCCAAACATCAATATATATAAAGTGTGTTTTGTCTGTTACACAACACCTAAATAAATCCTCGCCATCTGATTGGAGGATCGTTGATCACATGTCATTGAATTATTCGTATACCAACGCACGGCGGGCGCGTGGCGCGCAGCGCACAGTGCAATGGAAGTTCTATTGCACTGTAAATAGAACTTCCATTGCACGCTGTCACTGCTGCTGGTGGTGGCGCTGTTTTAAATCGAGATTAATTGATGAATTGAATATAATTGTTCTCAATCTGTCGAATAGTTTGCATAAATATAAATATGATGAACTTGTCGAACTTTTAAACAGTTTTCAACCTGAATAAATTGGCTATTAAAAGTCAACCAATCAGATGACAAGGATTTATACAGGTGTTATATAAAACAAATAATGAATGTTTCACGTTCGTGCAATGGAAAGAATAATTTCATTGGGGGACAGATGAAATGTTCCATTGCACTCGGCTTCGCCTCGTAATGGAATGGAACATTTCATCTGTCACCTCATGAAATTATTCTTACCATTGCGCTCACAAAAATTCAGAC